AAAGCATCTGAACAGCAAAAGAAACAATCAAAAAAGTGAAGAGAAAACCCACAGAGTGGGTTTAGCATCCCGAATATATAAAGAACTCAAAAAACAAAGAATCAAGAAATCAAATGACCCAATGAAAAGATGGGCTAAAGATCTAAACAGTGAGTTCTCAAACGAAGAAATAAAGATGGCTAAGAAACATCTCAAAAAGTGTTCAACATCCTTAGTAATTAGGGAAATGCAAATTAAAACCACCCTAAGGGATCACCTTACCCCAATCAGACTGACTAGGATCAAGAGAATAAATGATACCAGATGCCAGCGAGGATGTGGAGAAAGGGGAATGTTCATTCACTGCTGGTGGGATTGCAAACTCATGCAACCTCTATGGAAAACAGTGTGGAGAACTCTTAAAAAACTAAAAATGAACCTACCATATGACCCGGTTATACCACTCCTTGGCATATACCCAAAGGACTCAGCGTATTGTAGAGACACTTGTATAACTATGTTTGTTGCTGCTCTTTTCACAACAGCTAAGAGATGGAAGCAACCTAAGGGTCCCTCAGCTGATGATTGGTTAACAAAAATATGGTATATTTACACAACGGAGTTCTATTCAGCAGTAAAGAAATATGAAATAATGAAATTTGCAGGTAAATGGATGGATCTAGAAACTGTTATACTAAGTGAAGTAACAGACTCAGAAAAACAAACGACATATGTTCGCCCTCATACGTGGCTCTTCACATCTAGAAATTCCAATGGACTCTCATATGAACATTTGAAAATTGCCCTGTTCTGACTTTTTCTAGTTCCCTGTCTAGAACTTGTAATGTTAATTACTCTTGTCTTTACTTCTCCCTCACATCTCCCATTCATAATTCAAGGACTTTCTTCTCCACTTAAAGACAAAGAATTATACAATTTGGGAGTCTTTTAGATAGACCCACCGAAGGGGTACTCTAATTGCCTCACCCTGCATCCCTGTTCAGCACGGAAGAAGCCAGAGCGGTCTGTGTCCCTATTCCCTACTGGCAATTTGGGTAACCTCTTCAGAGGATGGTGTGGTAAGAATAGGAGGTAGGACCTGGCTAGGCAGTTAGGGTAAAAAGACCCCAAAGAAAAGTAGCCAGTTTCTGGGCTCAAAGTCAAAGTGTCCTTGGGCCTGTTAGCAACACACTTTTTTCCAAAGGCCAAAAATGTCAAAATATCTAGAGTATTTGGGAGCCTGTATCTAATCCTTAAAAAGAGTTTAGGGTTACTTCTTCAGAGGGGAGAATTTGGAGGGGAGGGAGTGGGCATGGATTTGATCAAAACACCTCATATACATGACTGGTCTACACAGTGAGTTCCAGGGCAGCTGGGGCTATAGGGAGACCCTGTCTCAAAAAGGCACAGAGGAAGGCTAAGAGGAAAGCAAAAACAAAACACAGCAGGGAAACAATTACTGTACTTCCATGTCCAGCATCCAGGACATACTGTGGTATCAGGATACGGGTCCCAAAGGTCTTGGACAGCCTGGCACTTGTTGCCTTGCTGTTTACAGTTCACGAGGTATCTAAGGCTGGTTCGGCTGCCTGAAGCATTCCAGCACCTCTAACTTCCTGGAGTCTACTACATCTCTGGCTTCAGTCTCACAGTCTCATGCACTGACAACTCAGAAGCTACCTGAAGGAATCCTGACCTTGTTACATATTGCCTCAACTACCAGATCTTCCACTGAAGTCTGAGTGCAGGCCTTTATGAGCCCATAGCTCTTGCACACCACATCTGTAAAACCACCATGCATCTGGCATCAATGTCTGCTACCTGCTTAAGCAGTACCCAAGCCGTCTTAGACTGCAGCAGTGGGGCCTGAGTGTCCATATGGCTGAATTCAAACAAACACTTCTCTAGGCAGCCCTGTGCAAGCAGGGAGCTCTAGAGCTTTCTTCTCAAACTGAAGTCTTTCTAATGAATTAAAATCTTTATCCTTAAACCTATGGCAGGTGAGGTCTAGTTAATTTCTGAGATGGCCTCAAGAGGCCTTTCCTATTGCCCCAAGGCTCTTTGTTTTTCTTCTTTTTAAAAAAAAAAATATTATTTTTATTTTATGTGTATAAATGTATTGCCTGCATGTAGGCAAGCACACCCATGTCGTGCAATGCCCACGGAGGTAAGAGGCTGTCAGATCCCAAGACCAGAGTTACAGACAGTTGTTAGTTGCCATGTGGGTGCTGGGATTCGAACCCGGGTCTTCTGCAAGAACAACCAGTGTTCTTAACCACTGAGCCATCTCTCCAGTTGCTATTTTTCTTCTTTTAATGACCTTAACTGCATCAGCTGCCACTTTCTTTAGCCCCAAGTTCAAATTCTTTTCTGGGAAAACTGCACGTTTTTCATATCTTCCTGCTTGGCTTTTCCCTCATAATTTCTAGCAAATCCATGCCAAAGCTAGAATAATGGGCTTCCTTTAAATTTCTGTAGCCGTATTAGTTTTGTTACCATTAAATTCAACCTCATTCAAAGTCTCCGTATAGACAAAATGTAGACAAGTTTTCCTATAATTCAATATGCATGGACTCACAGAGATCCGTCTGCCTATCTACCAAGTGGTGGGAATACAGGCGTGCACCACCACGCCCGGCTCTTCTAGTCCAGTTCTTGATAGCGTTCTTATTCCCATCAGAAACTGCATGAGTATAGTCTTCAGTATCCGTATTTCTACTGGCATTTGGTCTTATGAACTCACAACAAAAATGTCCACTAAACTCAAGTTACTGCATTCTAGAGCTACCTTAGCCTACATCTCCAAACTATTCCAAGTTTCTTTCTCAAATCAGTTCCAAAAAACCAGAGTCAAGTTCAGAAACAGCAATGACCCTACTCCTAGTACAAATTTTCTGTGCTAGACTTTTTGTCTGTAACATAATAACTGAGCGAAACAAGTGAGAAGGAAGGTCTCACAGTCCATCAAGGTGAGAAAGGCATGGCAGAGCACAGCAACATACCTCACAGAAGCCAGGAAGCAGAGAGAAAATGCTTGCAGGATTCCTCCTTTACTCCTTTTATTCCATCCAGTCCTGAGCCTCCTGAATCTACAGGATGCTGCCACCCACATTCTGAGAGGTGCCTAATCCTCTGGAAACACCTTCACCCCCACTCCCTCAAATGTGCTTTACTAATCTTCTAAGCACTTCTCAAGTCAATCAGGTTAATTATAACAACTACAGTTTTTAACTCTTAATGAGAGTATTATGATACAGTGAAATTAGGAAAAGCCTCATATTCTTTAGAAGCCTTTGGTTTAAATTCATTTACAGACATCTCATGTGAACAGCAAAGGCAATGAAAGGACACTGATACTATTGCCAGCATCTGCAGCGTCATACTATTATTGCTGTTTTGGCCCTATGTCAGCTTCAAGAAACACAAGTAATCCTGTAACAGATATCCCATAAGATAAAGTTAATAACATCTTACAATAAACATACTTATCCTTTTCTTTTCCACCACCAAATATGGGATGTAGTAAAACTCCCCCAGTTTTCAATTCATATGCCACTATTTTATCTAGTTCCTAAAAAGACACAAAAACAAGAGTCAGTGAAAACTTCATACAATACATTTTAATACTGGACTAGAACTCTTCCTTCCTAAAATCAGATGTAAATTTAAGATACGGAAGTATATTAGGAGAATAGCTTATGTTCTTATAAGTAGGGTAAGCTATACAGCTGGTTGAATATTGAGCCAAAAAAAATCTCTTCTCTTTTTGTGCCTTTAGGGCTCTCCAGCAGCCCAGCAACTTTTTCTTATGGTTCTTCTCAACTCTGACTTGTCCTCTAAATTTCATTCCTTCTCAGTGTTTTGCTTGTGAGGACTGAGGCAAATAGTTTAAATAATACAGACAGGGCATAGAAAAGTGGTATAAACAATAAAGTAGTGATTAAAAGCTATATGAATCCTGGCAATAGAGAAGGACGGTGTGTTTATTATAATGTCTGACAGACCGTGAGTGATTTATTTTCTTCCTGTTCCACCAATGCGAAAGGTACGAACCCTCTAACAATTGTTGAACTGAGCTTATGGCTAGATGATAAAACAATGTCAAATAAAAAAGGAGGATGAAGCATATATTTAATAAGGATATTAATGCTAAAACTTTTCTACTTACAAATGATGAATCTAAGACTCTAATAGAATCTAATGATGATTAAACTGTATACTTGCACAAGAACAGTATATATAAATACAGCTAACTTTCAACTTTTGTCCAAATCTTAAATAAATAGGAAAAAAATGTGGCAATGATAAGAGAATATAAATGCATTAAAGGACCAGCCAGCACAGGAGCAGTTATACTGCTCATCATGCACACTGCATGAGTCACGTGTCCCAAACCCCCATGGGTGGACACTGCCGTTGCCATCCTTAACCAGGTGAGACTTAGAAAGATTAAACAGTCACAAAGACAAATTTAGGAAACACAGTTATAATCTTTTTCTGTAAAGTAACTCTCATTTAACATAGAAAAAAAAAAACAAAACCAAAAACACAGCTATTTTTCAAACAAACAAACAGACACACAAACAAACAAACAAATAAATAAATAAATAAGCAAAATAAAATAAAGGACAGGAGGGCTGGCAAGATGACTCAACAGATAAAGGGGCTCATCTCCAAGCTGAGGACCCGAGTTTGATTCCCAGAACGCACATGATGGAAGGAGAGTCAACTCCTACAAGTTGTTTCCTGATCTCCACTTGCCAGGCATGCAACCTTCCACCACAAAATAAATAAGTAAATAAATAAATGCAGTAAAGTAAAGGACGGGAGACTTAGAAATCAGGAAAATGCTAACATTACTAATTTACAAGTGGAAATGGATCTAGCTCTTATTACCTCTTTAATCCAATGACGGTACTCATTAACACCAAAAGTTTTTTTCATCCAAAGTCCATAAATATAGCCTGAAATTCCCTTCAGCACCCACTCATCAGACCTAAGGAAAAGTCAATAAAACTTTAAACCATAACAAAGAGAGTAAAGGAAAACTGTAATACATATCTCTCTGCTATTTCAAGGAAAATGGAAGTTAAATTCTTAGGCTTCTGAAATTCTTTGGGCTGAGGTGCTTATCCATTATGCCTGGACTTTTAAGACTGCATAAAATTAAATGTTTATTACAAAGCCTGACACACTGCAAATGGTAAGTTATTTTCTTCTTCTGAAATGAAGAACGGGCTCTACCAGTACTAAGTGTATGAATCTCCTAAATATTTTTGGTACTGAGTTTATGCCTGGATGATAAAATTATTTAAATCTCATCATCTGAGCTGGGATATTGTAGCCCAGTGGCAGAGTGAGTACATAGCATGTGAAGTCCTAGGTTTGATCTCTAGCACAGAAGAAAAACCAAGAGCCCACAATGCTCTGCTGTCTTATCTAATGTGTACTTGGCCACATGCTCACCCTCACTGCTACTTCTCTTCTGCCTACTCTGCCTCTTAGAAGTCCCTGTCCATAGCAAGATGCATGCAAAATTTCATACTGGCAGTGTGCTGGCCCGTGCCTATAGTTGCTGCACTTGGAGAGAGGCTCTAAGAAGCACAAGAGTTCAAGGTTACCCTAGGTTATACAATGAGTTCAAGAACAGCTTGGGCTATGTAAGAACCTATCTCAAAAGATCAAATACAGCTTACTGATAGAATGCTTGCCTAGCATGCTCAAGGCCCAGGGCTCAATTCCTAGGACTGGAAATTCCAACTCCACATTCTTTATTGTGAATCCTAGGCTTAATTTTCATGATGTAGGTTTTAGATTACCCTTAAGTTTAACTGCTTACTTGTCTAGTTTCTCCAGAGAAAAGGCCATTAGCATCATTCATTTATTCACACACATGCTAACAACAAATTTTTTAAAAAAGAAGCAGAAATCAAATTCTACATAAAAAAGAGAAACTATAATCTTAAGGGAGTGTTGTATATTGCTTTCAATTAATCTCAGGCAGCTGGGTGAGGTAGCTCACATCTATAATCCCAGCACTCTGTGAGTGTGACGCCAGCCTATGTACACAGTGAGTTCCAGGCTAGCCAGCACTATGGAGTAAGACCTCCCCCCCACACAAATAAACAACAATAAAATTCATTTTAAGGTAAAGAAAATCAAGATTATTTTTCTCAGAGCTAGGGCTCAAACTGAGCATCTACCACATACAAAGAAAGCACTCTACAACTGAGCTACAATCCCTGACTCAAATATGTTCTTCTCTTTGTTTCAAGCAAATTAGTGTAACACTAAGAACTACAGAGCAAATTCCTCTGTCGTTATCATTAGTGTTGAAGAAACTACTTTGCTTTAAAGATCACCTTAAATATTTTTCCAAGTGCTTAAAACACTGACATTAAAACTCTATCATTTTCTATATATTCAAATTTGTATTCTATAGCATTCACTCAGCTCTTTTAAGACAGTTTAAGGCTGGGCATGGTGTATGAGATCAAGTCAAGCCTACTCTATATAGCTAGTTCCAGGCCAGCTGAGGCTACAGGGAGACCCTGCCTCAAAAAACCAACCAAACAAAAAAGTATTACTTTATCAAGATTATTGTCTTATTTACGGTAAATTATAGAATTGTACTTATTTTAAGACCAAAATAATAAGGAAAAGTACTCATTGCTTTTCTTTCTTTTTTGGGATAATCTCTCAAAATAACCCAGACATCTGCAAATAATTGGCAATGCTCAGCTTACACTGTAGGAAAAGAAAAGAAAAATAACAGTCAAGCATGGTGGCACATAGAGTGGCACATACTTGTCATCTCGTCACTTGAGAGGTGGAGTCAGGAATATCAATCAGTTCAATGCCAGACTCGGGTACACAGCAAGTTTAAGGCCAACACAGGTCCTAAGAGGCCCTGTCTCACAAGAAAAGGGGAAGGGGAAGGGGGACAGGAAAAGAAGGAAAAGGGGAAGGAAAGAGGAGAGGGAGGGAAGAAAGGGAAAGAAAGGGAAAGAGGGAAAGGGAAAGAGGACGAGAAGGGAAAGGAAAGAGGGAAAGGAGGAAAAGAGGAAGAAAAACCAGAAGAGGAGGAGAGAAAAGCAGCAAAGGGAAGGGGGAGCGAAGGGGAAGAAAGGAGGACATGGGGGAGGGAGGGAAAGGCAGGAGGAGAAGAGGGAGAGTCATTTTCCCCATCCTTTTACTAAGCAACTATAAATTCTGAAATTACTCACCAAGACATTCTGGATATGAAACATCCAAAAAACTGCTGGGCCAAAGACTGGGCTAAACATCTTCTTGTCAGGGGCGTCTCATCTATAATCATTGCACTGTGTAGAAGATTTGTGCTGAGAAACAACAGAACCAACTTATCATCAAGAAATGCACAATCAAGCAGTCAAAATGCAGCAACTGTATTCTAAAACAACACAATTTAAGTTCAAGTTATTACAGAAAGAAAACAAATCACAATCTTATTAACTTCTGCTTAAGGCAAGGCAATGTTTTCTACTGATTTCCAAAAAATAAAAATCTTTTGTTTTGGAGGGCAAGAAAGACACTGATTAACTAGAATTGATTCTAATAGGGCCATTTAATTTCAGAAGCCTTTTCCTGGGTTGGGCCTGGTAGCACAGTCCTGGCTCTAGGAAGACTAGGGCAAGGTCAGCCTGAAACACACAATGAGGAGACCCCATCTCCAAGTAAACAGAGAATCAACAACAAAATCCAAACAAATGAACAAAAAAAGCCGCCTTTCCCTAATATTAAAAAAAAAAATTTATTTATTTTTATTTTATGTGTACGAGTGCTTTTGCCTGCTTGAATGTAAGTGTATCTATGTGTGCAATGCCTGTGGAGACCAGAAGAGAGCACTGGATCTCTTGGAACTAGAGTTATGAACAAGTGTTATCAGCATGTATGTGCTGGGAACCGAACCCAGGTCCTCTGCAAGAGCAGTCACTGCTCTTAACTACTGAACCATCTCTCTTCAGCCTCTAATATCAAATTTTTGTGCTTCATTACTTACTTTTATATATATTGCTTCATTCAATTTTTCCAACTGGGTTCTAGAGAATGTAGGAGTGGTATTATTAGTACTATCATATTATATATGATAATTCTAGGAACAAGAACAGTAAAATAACTGCCCTAAAAACACAAAACTTATATATTTGAAACTTTCCAAAGGAAAGGAAAAGAAAAAAAAACAAAAAACAAAAAACAAAAAACCACAGAACCAGAAAGTCTCTATTTTTTTTTTGACAACTAATTTCTGATGTTGCAAAAGACATACTAGTTGCTCATATAATATATAAGTTTTTAAAACATTTACAACCAGAAAGAACTAAAACAAAAATGTAAAAGACTAACATCTGTTAGTCCTGGAGGAAGAGAATATGAGTTGTATTACTTCCTTAAGTCTTTCTACATTTTAAAAACACCAGAATAGGTATTGATCACAGCTAAAGCTCCAAAGTAATGTTAAAACTGACCATGCAATCAATAGCCTTTCCTCTTACTGAAATGCCTAATTTAGGCATTTCAAATTTGAAGAGATACTAACCTAAAAATGCTCATAGAAGCGTAGGCAGCCACTTCAACATAAGCCTCGTCAATGAAGACAGTCTTAAAACAGGAGTAGGGATAGCGACATGTCAGAATCTCTTCATAAAATTCAAAGACTTCATGAAGGTATGATGTAGTATGTTTAAGTAAAGGAAGAAGTTGGGGTAAACAGAAATGAGTAACCTGAAAATAAACAGCAAGGATAATCATCTCAAAAGAAGAGTTTTTATTATTTAAGAGTTTTTACTTTTATTTTACTTTTTGCTTTTTGAGATAGGGTCTCACTATGTAGCCCCATCTGGCCTGTAACTCACAGAGATCCACCTGCCTCTCCTTCCAAAGTGCTGGGATTAAAGGCATATGCCACATGCCTGACCTATATTTTATTTTACTTCAAGTAAATCTATTTTTTAAGAAAAAAACAGCGTTTTTTACTCTTGGCCAAACTTTCAATTCTTTCCAGGGGAACCAAAACCTCCTGAACCCCTTTCAGTGCCATCCAAAGCCTGAACTTCTAATTCTGGATAAAAAAAATCCATTCACAGATGAGCTGTGCAACTTGATCACCCCTTTTTTTAAACTTCAAACTTCTCCTTTCCAAAATTAAGCAGCACAACACTATCATTTCCTCTATAATCTTCATCTATGACACCAGCTCCTACATCTATGAAGTGTTTTACAGCCAAGCTAGAACATGGAGCTACTCTTTCACAGCACCCAGAAGGAACAGCTATCTGAATGTCTGTTTTCACAACGGCTTTCTCCACAGGTGGTACTGTATAATCAAAGGCACTGTATAGTCATAGCTGGTGTACTCTCGGACCCCTGGGTGGGCACTGTGGCTCATCCGGCTGGGTCCGCTTGCTGGGGGAGCCCATGATTATCTCTTCAGAGAAGGGCATGGCAGCAAGAGAATGGAGTACCCTGGTCTGTAGTTTAAATTTCTTAAATCTTACATTTCCTCTCTCTCTCTCTCTCTCTCTCTCTCTCTCTCTCTCTCTCTCTCTCTCTCTTTCTCTCTCACTAGCTTTTAACAAATTTCATAATGTGGAGAAAACAGTTATTTTAAAATCAGTGAGATTTTTGGATAAGGTTTACAAAATGTTGACTGTACTGAAAAATGTATATGGATTATGCAATTCTCTGAAATTTTTAGAACCACTGAAGGTAAAATTTTGGTTCCAAATTAAATATACTTTTTCTCTTATGTATAGAAATTATTAAATAATTCCAAGAAAGAATTAAATAAGGCATGGTGTAATCTCTTATTTATAAGTATATAAACCTAGTGAATATTACATATTTTATAGCAACACTTTAGTAAGTTTTTGTGCATAATGTTTAGGATTGAACCCAGGGCTTTGCATGTACAAGGCAAGCACCACTAAGCTACATCCTCAGTCCCTGAATCTAGTAATTACCAGCTTATGTGCCACACATGGTGGCACATATCAGTAATTTCAACTTTTAGGAAGTCTTCAAGGCCTGCTGGAGCTACATAATAAGACACTATCTCAGAAAAAGAAAGTTAATGCATCCGTATTTCTCTGTATACAAGGAAAAATTATTCTAGCGCTCACCTAATATTTCAGCTATACACTCAATACATGAGAGACACTTATTTGTAGTGGGGAGGTAACAAGTATTCGTAATAGAAATACTAATTCTGTGTGCTGGAGAGGAGGCTCAGCAGTTAAGAGCACTGGTTACTCTTGCAGAGAACCCGGATTCGGTGCCCAGCACCCACATGGAGGCCAACAATCTTCTGTAACTCCAGTTCCAGGGGGATCCAACACCCTGTCCTGACCTCTGCAGGCATTACATGACACAGGTGCACTTTACATGCAGGCAATACACTCATACACATAAAATGAAAATAATAAATAAAATTTTGAGAAAGAAATACTAATTCAGGTTTCTTATGAGGCTAAATCTTGCAATCATAGCCTGTCTCGTGGAATGATTCTGTGCCAAATGAATAAAGAAGCCAGGTATGATGGTGCACATCTGTAATCCCAGCACTTGGGAGGCTAAGGCAAGGGGATCACAAGTTGAAGGGTAGCCAGAGTCACTGAGTTCTACACCAGCCTAGGCTATCTAGTGAGACTGTCTCAAAACACAAACACAAACAAAAAAAACCCCACCAAAACCCTAGTAAGGTTTCATGCAGAAGATGGCATCGCAGGTAATCATTTTAAGTTGGACAAAAGTTTAATAGATAAGACCAGACATGATGGTGTACACCTATCATCAGGACTCAAGTTGAAGTAGGGAACTGTCATGAGTTTGAGGACAGCTTGGGCTACATAGTAAGATTCCATCTCACACAAAAACAAAACAAACCTAAAATAAAGTTTGAAAGGTCAGGATGAAAAAAGTGGAAATTCTAAGCAGAGTCCATAATAGAAGGACTATGTTATGATCAGACAAAACACAGGTAAACTGAAATATATGAAAACTTTTTTCAAGTATACCCTGGCTATATATAGTACAGGTTGATTTCTAAAATTAATTGTTACTATTGTCATCCTTTTATTACAGTCCTATCTCTGGAAGCTAAAAAACTACAAATTTAAAATTACAGAGCAAGCAGAGGGCAATGGCACACATTATTTCAAGGCCAGCCTAAGCTACGCGGGAAGACCCTATCTCAAAAACTCGAGTAAGATTTATTCTTACGTCAGCATATTCAGAGAAAAGATTGAATCAAGATTAGAATTCTATTTAATAAACTCAGGAAAATCTTTCCTTCTGAATAAATGTGATGTGTAACATTTTCTTTTAGTGCTATTCTTGATAGCTAAAGGTAACATTTATTTCATTAGCACCCTTCTTATAAGGAGAGGGCACAGGAGGGCTAGGGGAGTAAAATGACTTACCTCATGCATATACGGATCTACAAGTATTTCAAAAGGGCCAATGGCCAAGGAGATATTTGATGCTGCTGTAGGAATGGTGAGCATATAATGGAAGGTCTTCTTCCTCATATCATGAGTATACACTGTCTCCACCAAGTCTCCATTGGAAACAGCTACCATTGCGGCATCCACTGTAAATTCTAACTTCCAGGTACACAATTCAGAGTAAGAATCGACACAGGGGAACCAAAATCTAGAAAGAGATTGACAGAAAAGGAAATATTTTATACTTAAAACATCAAGTGTTCCACTTTTAAATTAAAATTATAACCTGTCAATTACTATTAGTCAACATTTGTTTCTAGAAACTAAGACAAGTTTTTAATGAAGTTTTAGAAAATATAACTAATACTCAGAATGTATTCTCTAAGTAAAGAATCTGCTCCATGTGTGTGTGAGACTGATGTGAAACACTGCATAAATTAAAGCTGTGATGAGGACAGACTGAGCTCTACAGAGACCCTGTGTTACAAAACCAAGGGCTGAGGTTAGAACTCAGTGTATGATGCTTGCCTAGCGTTTGCAAAGACCTGGGTTCAGTCTGACCCACTCAACAGCAAAAATTCAATCTGAGTGCTAATAAAGCCAGAGGGGAAATTTAATAATTTAATGATTTCTTTTTTTTTTTTTTT